CCACCCCTCCATCCACCCACCCCTCCATCCACCCACCCCTCCATCCATCCACCCATCCATCCACACTGCAATCCTAGTACCCAAACTCCCTGGAAGGTCAGATTAAGAGGGCTCCAAACACCTCAGGTGCACCTACCCCTACTCAGCCCCTCTGGAGCTCACCTGAGCTTGACCCTCCCAAAGGTCAGGGGGGCATTCCCAGCCCTGCTAAAACGTGCTGGAAACCAGGACTGGCTGGGTTTTTACCCCTGGGTTACACCTGCCCTGAGACCTGAAGCACGTGGTGGTGCCTGGGGCTGAACATCTCACGCTCCATTCTCAGCTGCACCCTTTTTTTTTCAAAAATCACAAAAATTTTATAAAGGCAAATGCATTCAAGAGACAAACCAGTCCCCTTTTATTAGGGTAAAGATACAGTCATAAAAAAATATTCGAAATTTTCTAAATAACCACCTGGACTTCAGGAGTTCCTAAATGACATTAACTGATACAAGTACTGCAAGCACTACTCATAAACTCTATTTGACAAAACAAAGTAGCAGCAAAATATTCAGTTTATTTCTTTTAGCAAACAAGAAATAAGAAAAAATAACGGTGAGGTTAAAACTGTCTGAATGCCAAGAAGCATCAAGTTCAGAAGATCATAACTTGAACACCCTAAACTATTTCCTGATGAAGTCATTCATATAGTGGGTTGGTATCTGTGCCTTGAAAGAGCAGATATTTTTAGCTTTGAGAAACCTGAATTTTGAGGTCTCAAAGCCAGGCTGACAAAAATTCCCCGGAGCAGCTCCTCGTGACTGCTGGGGGCAAACTGTGACTCTGTGCACGGCTCTGTGCCTTCCCTCAGGCAGGACAAGGAGGCCTGGATCAAGGTGAAGTACGTGGAGAAGAAATTCCTGAAGAAGCTGCCGAGCGGGGAGGCTCTGGCGGAGAACGAGCGGAAGCCCCGGCGCTGGTGCGTCAAGAAGTGCCAGAGGCACAACAGCGCCACGAAAGCGCCCACAGCTCGGAGGAAGTACCGGCACGAGGCTGGGAATGCCTCCCCAGCCATGCTGTCCTCAGGTGGGAGCATCCCTGGGCTGTCCCAGTACCACCCTGGGCTGTCCCAGTACCACCCTGGGCTGTCCCAGTACCACCAGCGTGAGGCCCCGGCTCCCTCTGGGACCCACAGACCCACCCTGGGTATAACCCGAAATGCTTTTGCACGTGTTGACACGGGTTTGTAAACCCATTTCCTGACGTTTTCCATCTGCCTAAGGAGCTTCTCGTGGCTAAAGGAGGAGGTTGTTCCACTTTGTGCGTTTTCTTTTTAATAAGTCTCGAATCCTTTTATTTTTACCTGCCTGGTCTGTAAGAGAGGCCACGCTTAGGAAGGGTTCTGGCTGCTCAGGGTGCTCTGGGATGAGTAGGTTTACAGTGGATCACCCTGGGATGGTTGGTTTGCAGTGGATCACCATCCTGGGATGGTTGATTTGCAGTGGATCACCATCCTGGGATGGTTGATTTGCAGTGGATCAGCACCCTGGGATGAGTAGGTTTGCAGTGGATCACCACCCTGGGATGGTTGGTTTGCAGTGGATCACCCTGGGATGAGTAGGTTTGCAGTGGATCAGCCCCCTGGGATGAGTAGTTTGCAGTGGATCACCCTGGGATGGTTGGTTTGCAGTGGATCACCCTGGGATGGTTGGTTTTTGCAGTGGATCACCCTGGGATGGTTGGTTTGCAGTGGGTCAGCCCCATGGGATGGTTGGTTTGCAGTGGATCACCCAATTTGGTCAGCAGTGTGTGATATTTTGGTGTAGGGGGGCACGATTCTGGCGCTGGACACACCTGGCCGTGCTCAGCCCGTGCAAATACAGCTGTAGAACTGGCTCTCACTTGCATGCTGTTAACTGGAAATCCCAAAATGTGTCTCTGTGTGGAACAGCAGCCACCCTGGAGAGGAAGTTCCGCCGAGATTCCCTGTTCTGCCCCGACGAGCTGGATTCCCTCTTCTCCTACTTCGACACCGGTGCCGGCTCCGGCCCTCGCAGTAAGTGCACAGCAAGTGTCCCTGCTCTGGCAGCTCTTCCAGGGCCTGGGCACTGCCCACACCCCAGGCCAGGCCTTGCCCTTACAGCAGAGGGTGAATATTTGGCAGTGATGAGGAGTTACTTGCACAAACTCCGGCCCGTTGCTCTTTAATTGCACCGATTTTAATCCACTCTCCAGTCAGTCCCTGATGTTTGCATTCTGGTGGATGGGATTTTTTTTTTGTTCCCGACATCTTTTACTCCCAGGCTGTGTGTTCCACTGGCTTTTATTTTTCTGGTTTTCATTTTTTCTTTTTTTTTCCCCATTTTTTCTTTTTTTCATTTTTTAAAAATTTTTTTAATTTTTTACAGTTTTTAATTTTTTTTCATTTTTCTTTATTTCCTCTCCTTCCTCTCCTTCCTCTCCTTCCTCTCCTTCCTCTCCTTCCTCTCCTTCCTCTCCTTCCTCTCCTTCCTCTCCTTCCTCTCCTTCCTCTCCTTCCTCTCCTTCCTCTCCTTCCTCTCCTTCCTTTTCCATTTTTCCATTTTCTTCCATTTTTCCATTTTTCTTCCATTCCATTTTTTTTCCATTTTTCCCCATTTTTCT